TGGGAGCCCATGGCTCCTACTAAGGAACCTGAGATCTGAGGATCAGGGTTTGAAGCAGAAAAGTTTGTAAGACATTTTTTTTCTGCCATGGGGCTTGAACTCAGGGCCTCAGCACTGTCCCTGAGCTCTTTTTGCTCAAGAATAGTGCTCTACTACTTTGAGCCACAGCTGCACTTCTGATTTTCTGATGGTTAGTTGGAGATAAGAGTCTCATGGACTTTCCTGCTTGGAACTTTGATTCTCAGATCTCAGCCTCCTGAGTAGCTAGGATTATAGGTATGAACCATCAGCACCCAGCTTGTGAGATTCTTACCTCCAAATAACCACAAAGGCCAGAAGTAGAGTTGTGGCTCAAGTGGTAGAGTGCTAACCTTGAGCCAAAAAGCTAAAGGACAGTTCCCAGGTGCTGAGTTCAAGCCCCAGTACCAGCACAAAATACTAACAAAAACAAAAGTATCCAGTTATCTTTAAACCTGTCCCCCCATGTTCCATATTATCATATATTCCCAGTATCCTAGTTAAGGTGAGCAGACTGCTTTAACAAATCCCCAATGTCTAGTAGCTCAAATGCGATGTAAGTCTACTTTCTGCTCATGCCAAAGCGCTTATCAGAAATGGAAGAGCAATGGGCATTGTTCCACAAGGTCATCCAGGGACCTTGCATGGACATCCAACCAACAGAGAAGGAAGGGTGGATGACATCTGGCAGTTCTTATAGGCCAGAATGGAAAATGTGCAATCAAGTACTATTATAGAAATTAAAGCATTAATAAAAGAAAAGGAACATTTAAGGCTCAACCTGGGTTTAATGTTGATCTGTCCAGGTGCTGGTAACTCACACCCATAATCCTAGCTACTTAGAAGACTGAGTAGCCAATGTAAGGACTGAGGCTAGAAGCCAGCCCAGGTAAACACATCTGTGAGATTCTTATCTCCAATTTTAACAGAAAAAAAGCTGGGACTGGAGATTTGGTTCAAATGGTAGAAAGTCAATTGTAAGCACAAAAGCCAAATGAGAGCATGAGGCCTGAGTTCAGACCTCTGAGCAGGCATGAGTACATGCAAACAGAAATACACAGAAATAAGTATTGATCTGATGGAAGATGTGACATACAAGAACACACCTCACAGACCTCCTGTTACAAGGAATGTATTGAATCCATGAGATCACAGACAAGACTTTTACCCAAGTGTGCCTTCCCCAAGCTGCCCCTGCTGATATGCTATATCTATGTGTAGCAGAGACATCAGGAGAAACCCCATAATGAATGCTGAATCTGCTTTACATTATTTATGTCAGGCTAGTAGGCTTCCTTCACACTGCCTCTCCCTCTACACTCATGATTGGCTTACAAGGTGGTCTGGTGGTTCTTCTGTCTTCTGTGGCTTCCTCCCTCTTTTTCCTTTTGTGCAGGAGCCTCCTGAGTACAATCTTCGCCCACTCCCTTCTCACTTGGCATATATATTTAGAGAAGTCAGTCTCATACAGGAGACTAGTCCTGGTATTTTGGCTCCCCAAATTCTGCTTAGGTCATATAGCACAGATGCTGACATTAGATAAGGATTGTTTATGGACAAGATGCAGACCCAAACTCCCTAGACTCTCTTTCTCTTGGTTATCTAGGGAAGATAGTGATTTCCCCCTCTCTCTCTTTCTCTTTCTCTCTCTCTCTCTCTGGGTTATCTGAGGACAGATGGTGATTCCTAAAGAGTGAGTTAAGTTGCCAGAGACTTCTGGAAAGGAGGTGAATAGCAGGAGGAAAGAGCCACAGAGGTCCATCCCATCTCCAGTTACAGGAGGGAGAAATGCCTCCCAAGACGGCCAGCACTGGACAGTACATGGAGGACCAAGTGGAAGAGGCAGGTGTGAAACCTTTTGAGTTCCCACACTTAGCATCTCAGCAGTGAGAAAGCAGTTATGGTTCTGGGATATGATGAGAGATGAGTGCCTAACTGCCAGAGTGCCACTCCTCTGTCTGTGTAAAACCAGCTGAACATTCTGGTAAGTCTTTTTTTTTTGTCAGTCATGGGGCCTGAACTCTGGGCCTGGGCGCTGTCCCTTAGCTCTTCAGCTCAGGGCTAGCACCCTACCACTTGAGCCACAGAGCCACTTCCAGCTTTTTCTGCTTATGTGGTACTGAGGAATCGAACCCAGGGCCTCATGCATGCAAGGCAAGCACTCTACCATGGAGCCACCTTCCCAGCCCACATCCTGGTAAGTCTTAAGAGGAAATAAAGCAAGCCCAATATTCTGATATTTATCATATACCAAAGTGGAATTTAAGATAATATATACATTTTACACATATAATCCTAGCTACTTAAAAGACTGAGTATTCAGTATACCATTTTGTGAACACACTTGTTCTAATCTCCTAGAACATCACTAAGCAATGTTGGAGACTAGGTTCACTAAACTAAATGTTCCTCTGAATCTTCTGTCAGTGAAATGAAAATCCAACAGCTTTAACACAGGTCAGATATATAAGGTTGATTGCGCTTCTGTTATCTCCCTTATGGGAGGTTTTTTTAAAGTAAGTTTTTTATTGTAGAAATACTGTACAGAGGGGTTACAATCACATGAGCAAGGTAATGAGTACACTTCTTTTTTTTTTTTGGGTCCGATTGTGGGGCCTGAACTCTTGGGCCTGGGTGCTGTCCCTCAGCTCTTCAGCTCAAGGCAAGCACTCTACCACTTGAGCCACAGCGCCACTTCCGGCTTTTTTTTTCTTATGTGGTGCTGAGGAATCGAACCCAGGGCCTCAGGCATGCAAGGCAAGCGCTCTACCACTGAGCCACCTTCCCAGCCCATGAGTACACTTCTTATCAAGCATTGCTGCCTCCTCCATTGTTTTTCCCCTACCATCTCTTCCCTCCCACCTCCACAACTACATTCCTCCCTCCAAATTGTAAAGTTTGTTTTTCAACATAGCAATGGTCAACCTGTATCCCTATTTAAACAGAACTTTTCCCCTTCTGCTCCCCAAATTATACCAACATCAAATACAGTGAAAACAGGGGTTATACCATGGGGAGGGACATACAAAGCAGCCAAAAAATCACGTGGTACCTTATAAACACGTTAGAAACAATAGCAAGAAAGAAAAAACCATTTGTGTCCTTATCTTGGGGTTCATTTCACTTAACATCATCTTATCTGACCTTTTCTGCTTGTCTCAGATATATACTAGTTATTGCAAATAAGGGAAACCAGGGGACCTAAGTTTCTTTGCAACTGGCTTATTTCACTTAATATAATTTTTTCCAAGTCTATTTCCTAACAAATGGGGCTTATGGGAGGTTTTAATGCCAGTGGACAATGCTGTTAGTTAGAATGTTATTCCTTTACTCATTACAGTGAGAAAATGTCAAATACTCACAGCCCCTTTCCCAAGCGTCATTCCTGGTGAGTTGAAGAAAGGGTGTCATGTCATGAAATTCCTTCTTCTATCTCTCCTTTAGACTTCTGTATCTCTGCAGAGAGATGCATTCAGGTGCTTTTCTATATTGTAAAGTTACTGTACAAAGGGGTTACAATTACATGAGCAAGGTAATGAGTCCATTTCCTATCGAGCACTGTTGCCTCCTTCTTTGTTTTTCCCTTACCATCCTCAGGAGCTTTTTGTCATGTATGCATTAAGTTTTGCAAGACTGAGTCAGGTAATGAGGGAATTAAATTTTTTTTTTTGTGCCCCTACTGGGCCTTGAACTCAGAGTCTGACATGTGAGGTCCTGTGGCCTGCCCTGGCATGGGACTCCTGGGCTCTGGGCCTGGGTCTGAAAGCCTGTTTTCACCACCATGCCTTCCTTAACATAAGTCGGTTTCAGTTGATGTTTACAGAGTCTTCAGGATGCAACCGGGGCGGGTCCTTGTGGGCCGGGGTCGCGCGTGTACTCGCAGTCCTCCGACCTGAGGAGAGGAGAAGGGGTTGACAGGGAAGAGGAGGGGTTCCCTGCCAACTTCCGTGACGAATCTGCCGCTGCGGAATCCAGCGGGGGGCGGGGCCCGGGAGCCGAAAGTGCGGCCGCGCGCTTGCCACGGGGTTTACGCGGCGATTTCATCATGCACCGGATCCGTCAGCGCGCGCCGCCGCCCGTCCCGGCCCGCCCCGGCCCGCCGCGTCCTCGGGTCCCTGCCCGGATCCAGGGCTTCAACAGCACGCTGCGCGCGTGGCAGGAGTCCATCGCGGGCCCCAAGGCCTGACGGAAGGGCTGGTGGGCACCCCGTGCCCCACCCCGGCCCGCCGGCCTCCCAGAAGGACTGTGAGAGAAACTTGCCTTTGCCCAGAGTCCTGACTTCAGTCGGGCCTGCAAATCCTCTGTCCCCACTTTGCATCTGCCAACCCCCCTGTCAGACATCCTGGCCTTCTGGATTCCATCTGTGACCAGGGCCCCGAGGTTTTCCAGCCCGCCCTGGTCGGTCTTTCCTTCTGCTTGGCTCCTTTTCAACATTTTAATAGAAATGCTGTTCCTTCCAGAGGATTCGAAAGTAAGTCAAGAGTTGGAAAAGGCCCCACCTGACCCATCCTGAGAAATAAGCAACCCAAAGACACTTAGACCACAGCTCTTACCAGACTGTTACGCGTACCTCCTGCCCCTGTCCCAGTGCTTCCTCTATTTAAAGAAAAGCTCATGTCTACCTTGGACATGGGCTGAAGGGCCTACCTCTCCTCCCGCGCCCTTCTCTGACCTTCACCACTGCTTATCTCTTTGGCAAAGTGGAGCAGGTGGCCAGACTTAACTGTCCTGGGACTGCAGTTATGGCAGAGCCGCTTTGCCCCAGTCTGCAGCACTCTCCATGCTGGCGGTCAGTTCTCAGCCCCAGTCTGCAGCGCTCTCCATGCTGGCAGTCAGTTCTCAGCCCCAGTCTGCAGCGCTCTCCGTGCTGGCGGTCAGTTCTCAGCCCCAGTCTGCAGCGCTCTCCGTGCTGGCGGTCAGTTCTCA